ACGTCTCATGCCTGTTGTTGGCGGGGTGGTCCTGAAGCCCTAGCAGTCTGACTCCCACGCCCTTTCGGGTACATGGAGTCGTCCCTTTGAGCCCCTCTCTCCTGCATCCTCGTTTCTTCTTCCAGCTCTTCCTGATCAGCCCTCGCCACTATTTCTCCGCATTCCAGGGTCGTCCACCTCCGCCCCCTGGCTCCACCTCTTCCGCTTCTTGGTCTTCTTTCCCCTCGTCACTATCCATTTGCATGTGTTCTCTCCCCGCTTTCCTGTCCCCCGCCCTCATGCTACTCTCCCTGCTCCATCGCCCTCTCCCTTCCTCCCACTCTGCTTTCCTGTATCATCGTCATCCTCTGCCCACTTGTCCGCCCCCTCCTTCCTCCAGTCCTCCGCGCCCCTCCTCTGCTCACTTCCCTTTCACGCCCCCCTTCCACGCGCCTCTGGCCCGACGGGGTGGCGAACGCATCCACTGGCAACATGTTGTCACCCAGTGAACAGAAGTCTATCAGAGCGGCTTCTTCGGATGACATGCTCGACATTTTTTGTGACAAAGATGTCCTCACGTGTTGGCACCTCATGTTTCCATGCCGTAACTGCATGAGCTACGCTACATACCACGATTTGTCTCATTGCCCCTTGCTTTTTGGATAGTAGCTGCACGTACAAAAAAACACATGATCGTGACTTTTTCGTGAATGTAACCCAAAAGCGCAAAACAGGTGGTCGGGACATGCGCCACTGGGTTCCCGTCAAAGACCTTCCAGACGCGTTCAACCTTGGAAAACTCACGGACAAGCTTGCCCCTCAGGTAAACCACGATTTCGGCAAACGGAAGCTCAACCATTTCCACCCCATTCAAGACACTTCGAGCGCCACCAAACACTTTCTCCTGATGTCCAACAAAACGCAACCATTGGTCAATTTGGCACTCTTTGTCATCATGCCCACAACTTACATAAAAACGAAGGACACTACATTATCACCGCGCTGGCCGTGCACAGTTGGCTCTCTCATCAGAAGACGCCCCGGGCGCAGCTCCTGGGTGACGCCCGGGCGAAACTCCAGACACGGCTCTTGGACCAGCGCAACACGATGGTTAAAGAGGAGAAGTTGCCGACGCTACTTCCGGTGGAATCTTGTGACGCCCGTCGGTTCTACGACGCGCTGGTTATTTGCGAAGACCTGTATGGCCGACAACCAGATGCCGGGTACCACATCCCGAGTTTCACAGAAGGCGACGACGACTCCAACCTCGTACCAGACGGATCCGGGACCAACCCCCGCAGAGTTGCTGTGCGCATGCACCACTCTGCCGGAGCCCAACGAGAGCACAGTGGCCAGCTCAACAAGAGCCCCGTTCTGTTGGTTCAAATGACAAAAACAGTCCTTGCCACGCACGCGCAGTGGCTGCCTTATCAGGCTCAGCTGGTATACATGCGTTCCTTTCGGAGCGCGCTCGGGGCGCGCAATTGGGAGCAATCGGTCATATCAGACATTTCTTTCACTGGACATGTTGGAGATGGGGATTTTTATGTTTTGCGGAAGTTGTGTCCAGACGCTTCCTCTATTTACAACTCTTTGGCAGACAGAGAGCCCGTGGAGGCTGCCGGGGCCACCGCTGCCACGAACGCTTCCAAAGGCGAGCGGGAACTCGGCCACACGTTGATCCAGCTGTTGACATCCAGGCCAGAGAGCATGTCGTTGCATTCAAAAGTGAACGACTTGCTCGGCTTCCACGCCATGGACTTTCACGAATCGCAATACACAGTTTGCGAAGTGCGTACGTTCGTTTATGGCGCGCGCCCGAGGAAAACAGAGACGACTGACTCGTGGCTGGAAGAGATGCGCGCGGCCCACCGGCGCTGGCATCGGCAGGTCCTCCTGCCGCACGTTTGGGGCGCAGTTGCCGCCAGGGACCGCAAGCGGGCGGCGTGAGTAAGGCGACTTCTCCAACGCATTGACACAGAAACAAAAAACGATTCAACCCATCATCTCTCTCGCCCCCTGTGGGGCCATGGCATCGTCCAGCCTTCCATCGTATTCCCTGTCTCTTTTTTATTTCTCTCTCTCTCTCTCTCTCTCCACGGCGTGCTCTCTGACCACTATGGTTTACAAGGCCCTTCAGCTACTGGGCGCGCCGGCACCTCCAGCTTCGCGCTCGAGCGAGGGACAACCAATGAATGTGCCCGCATTATGATGTTGATATCCCCATCGCATACTTATTCCCCCCTTTATCCTAACAGCTCTTCCACGGCTCTCCACGCCCCCCCCCTCGCCCCGCGCATGCCCGCGCTCGAGGGGCGCCCTGGAAAGGGCGGCAACGCCAGGCCAAGGCGATGTTCCGAGCGAAGCCGATGGGGTGGGCTCCCAGATTTCCTTGGATCCATGGGCTTCCCCACCCCTCATTAACACGTGTTCTCAAACATTCCATGGGCCAAGAGTTAAGGCGAAGCGGAGCGAGCCTTCAAAATCTCCCTGCCGATCTGCGTGAGGGGGGCCACCGAATTTTAAAACATATGGCAAGTCCCTTGTGTTTTTGGACCATGACCCTACGGATCCGCGTGAGGGGTGCCACCGAGAGTCAGACATGTGGAGAGATCGCTTGGTTTTCGGACCCTGACCCCGCCGACCTGCGTGAGGGGTGCCATCGAATTTGAGAAATGCGGCAAATCCCGTATGTTTTTGGCCCCTGACCCCGCCGATCTGCGTGAGGGGTGCCACCGAATGTCAGACATGTTGCAAGTCCCATGTGTCGTTGCACCCTGACCCCGCCGATTTGCGTGAGGTTTGCCAGCCAATTTTCAAACATGTAACAAATCCCATATGTTTCTGGACCCTGACGCCGCCGATCAGCGTGAGGGGTGCCACCGAATTTCAGAAATGTGGCAAGTCCGCTGTGTTCTTGCAACCTGACCCCGCCGATTTGCGTGAGGGGTGCCACCGAATATTAGAAATGTTGCAAATCCCATGTATCGTTGCACCCTGACCCCGCCGATCTGCGTGAGGGGTGCCAGCCAATTTTCAGAAATGTGGCAAATCCCATGTGTTTTTGAACCCTGACCCCACCGATCTGCGTGAGGGGTGCCAGCCAATTTTCAGAAATGTAACGAATCCCATGTGTTTTTGGACCCTGACACCGCCGATGTGCATGAAGGGTGCCACCGAATGTAAGAAATGTGGCAAATCAGCTGTGTTTTTGCACCCTGACCCCGCCGATCTGCGTGATGGGTGCCACCGAACGTCAGAAATGTGGCCAACCCGTTGTGTTTTTGGACTGTGACCCCGCCGAATTTCAGAAATGTGGCAAATCCTTTATGTTGTTGCACCCTGCCCCGCCGACCTGCGTGAGGGGTGCGACCGGACGTCAGACATGTGGCAAATCCGTTGTGTTTTGGACCCTGACCCCGCCGATCTGCGTGAGGGTTGATCGGAGGTTAGGGGATATGAGCGGAAGGTTGCCCCGACGTTTGTCCCGATAGGTGGGTATATGGATAGATACATTGGTTGATGGATCGACTCGATAGATCGATATGATTGGTTGGTCGATAGAGGGGTAGACTGATTGATGTGTCGGCTCGAGAGACAAATAAGTGTATACATATATACATATATATATATATATGTATATCTGAAACAGGTGGTATTGATTCGCCCGCGTACTCTTTGGTGGCGGCAGGTGGGAGTCATCGCACATCGACCGCTTCTCCCTTCCCCCCGAACCTCCTTATCACCCGTAGGGTGGTCCTATCTGTATATCCATGTCCACCGCCCGCCGGGGCACCAAGACGTCGTCTCCCAGGCGGTGGACATGGAGAAATCCCAGCCTCGCAGGTATCACGATTCGACGCTGACGGTTCTTGGGCTTATCCCAGCAACTTCCTTCACGCCGCGCCTGGCCAGGGGCTGATTTTAGAACGCCCTCGTGGCCACGGCCGGGCGCAGATCGAGAAAGTGGTCCCGGGTGGATCCACGGACGGGTCCCGCGAGGAGGAGGAGGAGGAGGAGGAGGAGGAGGAGGAGGAGGAGGAGGAGGAGGAGGAGGCTGGATCAGGAGGATGGATGAGGAGGAGAATGGAGGAGGAGGAGGAGGAGGAGGAGGAGGAGGAGGAGGAGGAGGAGGAGGAGGAGGAGGAGGAGGATGGAGGAAG